GCAATTTCGCATAGGTGGCTTCGGACACGTCACCCTCGCATGCAGCCTCCACGTGTCATCTTCTGGTTGGACTGCAGTTCGCCGTGTCACCATCGGATTGGACCGCAGCCGAGGTCCAGTAAGAAGCCAACACCTTCGCAGGAGACACTCCCCGGACACTCCTCGGACGCCCCTCGGACCCTCGTGGCACCTCCCCATTGGACCGAAGTTCGGCCCACTCAGAAGCCACCACGTCCGAAGCCTCACCCCGTGTACACTTCGTATGTCCGACGCGTGGCTGCTGACTCCTCGCCCTCGCCAGCTGTCCGATGACTCACCTACCTCGGCCGAACCCTCGCACCCCTATATAAAGGGTGCGAGACTTCTCGGATTTGAGGGATTTTTCATCCCAAATTTCACCACTTTTCACATTTTCACCCCCTAGACTTTCTCACGACCCCCCAAAGCCCCGGTATCGTGTCTAAAACCCAAAGCAAGCCCCGGAGCCCCGAAATTCTCGAGAAGTTAACATCTCTCCAGTCGAAACTCTGCCCGATTTGAGCCGGTTTCTCGTCAAACAAACTTCTTTCCGGGAAACGAAACGCTGCCTGAATCACCGCTTATCAAAGTGAGTTCATATCCCTATAATTTACCTTTTTAATGATTTTTAAATGCTTTTTGGGGGGGGGGGGGAATACAAGTTTAACACAATATTATATTGTGTTAATAACTGTATGTGATAATAATCACACAAAGAGTTTTTGTATGCTTTTAAGAATTACCAAATACTTCCAAAATGACTTAAAGACATGTTAAATCTTTAAAGTCATGTAAACTCCGTTAAAATTCTTTGAAAAAGGTTTTTATAAACTATTTCAAATTATAATCGCCAAAATCATGTTTATATATGTATAAGTGTATAAATAAGATTTGAAGGGCTTAGGACTAATGAATTACCTTCTTTCCTTTTCCTTGTTTGGATATGGAGTTAAGGTGGTGTTATTTGTCCGAAGGTCGTTTCCTTCTTAATTATATATATATATATTATACATATATGAGTATAAAAGGTTACTCCTTTTGGTATCATTACCTTTGTATCAGGCTGAGCAAAGGTGTTCATCCATGAGAAATCATGCTAATCAGATAGAACATATAAATTATAATAGGTATAATTTATGATTCAAAACTAAATATACAAGTATGATTCACGACTGTATACTTTCCAAGGAAATTACCAAAAATTCATTCAACTATACCAAGATATGTATAATACCTTTAATATACGAACAACATATTAAAGAAGTAAAGATACATCATACCGGGTTTGCATTAACAAATGTACTATACAGAGTACCAGGGTTAGCAAATACGGGGTAATAATACATCATACCGGGTTTGCATTAACAAAGGTACGATACAGAGTACCAGAGTTAGCAATCACAGGGTAATAATACATCATATCGGGTTTGCATTAACAAAGGTACGATACAGAGTACCAAGAGTTAGCAATCACAGGGTAATAATACATCATACCGGGTTTGCATTAATAAAGGTACGATACAGAGTACCAGAGTTAGCAATCACGGGGTAATAATACATCATACTGGGTTTGCATTAACAAAGGTACGATACAGAGTACCAGGGTTAGCAATCACGGGGTAATAATACATCGTAAATCTCGTTGAAACAATAAATTTTGTGAGACCCTTCACAGTGTACTTATCTAAGTACGACTTTTAAGTCCTGACCTATTAACCAGAATCTCTTGTAGGGAGAGCGTGAATTTGTGTATAGATCTATATGGGACTGACAATCCCGCACCTCTACTGTTCGCTACAGTTTGGCCGGCAGGCCTAGGGTGTCAAATATCATACTATTCCGACGCCTGAAGAACGTCGTCGCAGGCATATCAGTCATATTAGTATGGTTAATAGAACTCACATGGATAAAACAACCAGTGAAGTACCAAGTAATATACTTCTCTTAAAACAGTAAGAAAAGATAATTACATCCCGACCAAATATACCTTCTGTAGTTTTTGCTTATAGTAAAAGCTACGTATCATGAAATCAAGTATGGTTAATATACTTGTACTTCTGGTTTTGAACATTTAAAACCACAAGGCAGTATTATGGATAATATAATATTTTTCAGGATTAATACTAAGGTTTTTACTATAGAACAGATATAACTAAGGATACTTTTACAAAGGAAACGGTTTAGGGAATTAAACCACTTTTACAAATAAAACGGTTTATGGGATTAAACCACTTATACGAATAAAACGGTTTATGGGATTAAACTACTTTTACAATTGGAACTTAGTCAACTAGTAATACATAAAGGAACTTTAGTGATTAATTCTATAATTCCTTAGTTATTACATCAGAGTTATACATAAGTAATATCCGATTGACAGTGAAATGTGTGACTTCCGCCTTACTTCTTGTTCCTTGTTTGGTTGTGGGCTTAGGGCAGATACACCCATTTAACTGTCCATTCGATATTGGGTTATATATAATCAGTATAAACTAAGTAATTACAGAGGGAAACTATTGAGGTTATCAATCTATCACCTCAGGGAATATAGGATTTCCTGGAGAAACCAATGAACTTATCCAAAGAACTTAGGGTATACTTAACAGAACTAAAATACTTATGAACTCACCAGCTTAAATGCTGATCTACTCTTTCCAAATAACTTGTATTCTTAGGAATCCAGTAGACAGGTACACTCCCGAAGCCTTTGAGAAGACTACCTAGTACCGTACCGCGACTCTTGTCTTCTACTGTACCTACTTTGGTGTACATTTATGTAAAACTTATACTTATTAATGCAATGGTTGTTTGTACTTTGATTACTATATTGCATGTGTTGTGATACTTACCTAAAGTCCTCCGCCCCCGAACGTTTCCGCCGTTCTGGTTTGGGGGTGTGACAACTATCTATTCGATCTTAGATATATATATGTTTCCGTATACACCAAGTAATCATAAGGGGTACCAGGTATGGGTCAGGTCATAGGACACAAATTCAATGCACCGTTTTCTAGTACAAAACATACTTTTTCAATAAATAACTTTTGAATACAAAACTAGAAACTTACCAGTAAAGGGTTTAATCCATTTTTATTAAACCAGTATAACTTAAAAGACCTTAGGTGGTTAATTCTATAATACCTTAGTTTATACATCAGGGTTATATATAATTAATATCCGATAGGTAGTTGGATGTGTGTTTTCCGCTTCATTTCCTGTTCCTTGTTTGGTTGTGGGCTTAGGGCAGATTTACACAATTAACTATCTATTCGATATTAGATTATATATAGCTAGTATAAACTAAGTGATTATAGAAGGAACTACTGTGGTCACCATTTTTACTAAAAGAAATAAGGGTTTTCTTAAGGAATCTTTTCATCAAATATAAAGGAACTATTACAGTTAACTCCGTGAGTACCAAGTGAATACGTCAGGGTTATATACAATGATGACCTAACAAACAATGGGATGTGTGTCTTCCGCCTCATTTCCTGTTCCTTGTCTGGTTGTGGGCTTAGGCCAGATACACACAACCGATTGTTTGTTTACTCTGAGTTTTATATAACTTGTATCCATTTAATACTCATAGAAAGGACCGTAGAGTCATTTTTACTTATCTTTCATCAAAGCAAGAAATATAGGATTTCCTGGAGGACAGACAAACTTTTCTAAACAGAACTTACTACAACTTACTATAACTTTCTACAACTTTCTTACAACTTACTTACATCACTTAAATCTTATGAACTCATCGGCTTAAATGCTGATCTACGCTTTCAAATAACTTGTATTCTCAGGAGACCAGTAGACAGGTTCGCGCACTGGGATTCAGAAGATGGAGCAGTATAGCTTCATGTCTTTTTGTTATTTGCTATGTATTCTATATTATGTGAATCACATACTTTGTAAACACTTTATTTCTAATGAAATGGTTGTTTATTACTCTTCTTACTATCATTATGATTATAATTAATATTTTCCGTTAAAGTGATTAAAATGTAGAACTTTATAATACTCAACAAGTTTTTTATAATGCCCCATCTATATTTTTTAATTCAAATGTTAATTGCTTCATTGTTAATTCTTCAATTATGGGTGTATCATTTTATTGATAAAACTCTTATCTTTGTAATTTATTGCTTTTTATAAATATTTGATTTTTTATTACAATTTTAAATTATCAATAGTTTTTTTGTTTTTCTTTCTTGATCGTGGTTTCCATGAATATTAACCTAGTGATCCATATTGTTAAGTTGACTACTTATTTAAAAAGTTGTAGTTATAAATCGAAAAAATATTTTATTTCTAATTTTAATTTTTCAATATAAAATCTAGGAAAAATTGTATAAAAGTCAATATTTTCTTTGCCATTTTTTACGATCTAACCATCATATTTTATTGTTTTATATGAAAGTCGTCATACTTTTAATTATTTTATTGTTATTTGTTAAATTGTATATTTATAACTAGTTGAAAACCTCTAAATCATTGAAAATATTAATGACAAAAGCTTACTAATTAATAAATTCTTTGAAAAAACTTTGGTTTGAAAAAAAAAAAAAACACATTGATTAGCTTTTTCAAGTTTTAGAAACAATTTGGTTTAAAAAAAACTTCAATAAAGCTACTATTGTCGATGCTTTTAGTTTTCTGTTTTCGGTAATATATAGTTACACAATTACAAATCTTATGACAAATAAAACCAAAATTTCATAAAAATTTGCTTTTCAAAATTTTCAACTCCTCTATCATTTATTTTCACCAATCGTTGTCTAGTGTTTGCCCATAAAACAAAAGAAACAAATTGCTAATCAAATTATATTTTATTTTAGCTAATTAACCGTGTAATAATTGATTTAATAAATAAATCTTTTAATATAAAATAAATTAAAAATAAATTGTTTAACATGTGATTGTGGAAAACATTCATCAAAACGAGGGTTTAGTTTTTTATTCAAAGGGTGGGATTAGATTCTTTTGACATGCCAAGAAAGAAAGTATCTTCTTTCCATAAACAGCACTGCCATTACATTGATTCCAGACAGGGACACTGCCACCATCAACCACACCCTCTGTTTTCGCTAGGGTTTCATTCCTTTATTTCTTTATTCTTAATCGCTGTTCTTCCGAATTTCATCGATGTTTATTCGCCAATCATAAACCACGACTTCTGCAAATTATTCATTCAGAACCAAAAAATGAAGGTCTAGCTTCTTGAGAGAGATAAAGTGAGTGGATATAATCCATTTGACCAAGTCCCGCCGGCAAAGACGTCCGTCAATTCTATATCATTATCGCTATACGTCTATATCTTTGTTGTCTTCTACGCATATTCCATATGTAACATAACAGAGTGATCAAGTATCTGAAGAAGCAAAGGATTCGGATTGTAATTCGCATAATCGCAGAACGGCTGCAAGCTTCCCAACTTTGAAGAACCCGTCCAAACCCTAATTTTGGGGTTTATTTTATAGGCGTTCTTAATTGAATCGGGTTTTAAGGTATCATCAGCTCTTTTGAAGGTAGGATATTTGTTTGTTTGTTGGTAAATTGATTGATATATGGGTGGGATTTGCGTTAAGCCTTCTGGTGGGAGCCCAAGAGAGAGGACGTCTAGTAAATTATCATCAGAAGCGTATGTATTACAGTCCATCAGGGAAGAAAGTTTTAGGCTGAAAAATCGACCTGAAGTTCGACCAATTTCAGTCGACAAGAAACCAAATTCTTTTAGACGTGTACGCGATGATCATTTTGAGAAGAAGAAAGAGGGTTCTGAAGTCATTCTCGCTAATATTCCAAGTATTAGGACAATTCCAAAAGCCATAGAAGGAGAACAGGTCGTTGCAGGTTGGCCTTCCTGGCTTGCTGAGGTAGCTGGTGAAGCCATTAATGGCTGGTTACCTCGAAGAGCAGATACATTTGAGAAATTAGACAAGGTATCTTCATCTTATATTCTTATTCTTCCTAATTTTATGATTCAAACAAGGTTATTCATTCACTTTTATCTTTGCAGATTGGTCAAGGAACGTATAGCTGTGTATTCAAAGCTCGCGATCTCACAAACAAGAAAACTGTCGCTTTAAAAAGAGTAAGATTCGACAACATGGATTCAGAAAGTGTCAAGTTCATGGCAAGAGAAATCCTCGTCTTGAGAAGACTCAATCATCCAAATGTAATCAAACTCGAAGGATTAATCACTTCACGAACTTCATCCAGTTTATACCTTGTTTTCGAATACATGGAACATGATCTAACAGGATTAGTATCACTACCTGGTATCAGATTCACAGAACCACAAGTGAAATGCTACATGAAACAGCTCCTAAGTGGACTTGATCATTGTCATAGTCATGGTGTTCTTCATCGTGACATAAAAGGGTCAAATCTTTTGATCGACAATAATGGGATTTTAAAAATTGGTGACTTTGGTTTAGCAAGTGTCTTTGATTGTAATCAAAGTGTTCCATTAACAACACGTGTAGTGACACTTTGGTATCGACCACCTGAACTGTTACTTGGAGCTACACATTATGGAGTTTCTGTGGATTTATGGAGTGCAGGATGCATTCTTGGTGAATTATATGCAGGGAAGCCTATCATGCCTGGTAGAACAGAGGTTGAGCAACTCCATAGAATCTTCAAGCTTTGTGGTTCACCTTCTGAAGATTATTGGAAAAAGACGAAATTACCCCACTCAACAGCTTTCAAACCTGTTCATCCTTATAAAAGACGGATTCTAGAAGCTTTTAGAGAGTTTCCTTTACCTGCTGTTGGACTTATGGAGACCTTACTTGCAGTAGAACCAGAACAAAGAGGAACTGCATCACTCGCTCTCAAGAATCAGGTATTCTTGAATATTAAATAATTAAAAAAAAAATAGAAACTAAAACGTGTGTTTGTGATTCTTTCAGTTTTTTACAACAAAACCTTATGCTTGTGATCCTTCAAGTTTGCCACATTATCCTCCTACCAAAGAAATTGATGCTAAAATGAGAGATGAAGAAGCTACAAGGTATGTTCATATATGGTTCATTTTTGTGATTTTCTCATTTTTAAATAACTTTTTGAATTCTTGTAGACAAAGGGCAAATCAAAAGGTTGAGAAGGAAAGCAAAGAAAGTCATATAAAGCAACATGCGATCTTGAAGGGTTCAAAAGATGGTCGACCAATGAGGGACTCTTATTCAGGGCCATTGGTGGCTAATAACAAATACTGTGAATTTTCAAAAACATCTAAAGATGATGAAATTGAAAAGAAAGATGTTTCTTGTTCCCAAGTAAGAAAAGATGAAGTGGGTAATAATAATAATAATAAGGTATACAAGAAAGGAAACAAAATACAATTTTCGGGTCCACTAGTTTCATCAAATGTTGACCAAATGATTAAAGATCATGATCGACATATTCAAGAAGCTGCCAGAAGATCACGCCTTGAGAAGACGAGGGTTGGTGAAGTTGAGATTGAAGGAAAGGAAATGGTAAGAAATGTAGTGTATCCATCAAGTCGACTATCCAAGTAAAAAAAAAAAAAAAAAAAAAAAAAAAAACTTGTGGCATGTGTTGTGATTTAGATGGTTTTGTGTAGAGAAATTCTTATTGTATGTTTTTTTTTCTTGAAATTATAGTGTATTTTAGGGAGGAAAAATGATAATATGGTGCATAGGTTTGTAATGTTGATTGGTGTGCAAGAAAGAAAATATAGGAACAAGTAATAGAATGGTTTTTGAAGCGGATTGTGGTTTTGGTTTTTGTTGTATATTATGTTATACTTTCCTTCAACACTATTTTGACCTAATATGTGCGGGTGTCACGAAATATGTTTGATGATAATCCAAATGAATATGGCAAACTTCGAGTTTAGGCAAAAAAAAATTGGAAGCCGTTTTTGTAGATTTGTGTAATGGTCTATTTGAGGTTATGGTCAAATATGAGTTATAACGTGCAGAATGTACATTTGTAAGAGTTATTTTTACATCAGATATGTTGTAAAATTGTTTAAACCAACATCATTTCATACATTGTTTTTGGGTTGGTGAACGAAAAAAGTCAAATATGATCGTTATATTTATTCGTCTACATCAAATTTAACAAAAAAAAAAAACATTTTTGTGGTTTGTTTGTATAATGATATTTTATATATTTGTTACTAATATTATATTTTAAATTAAATTGATATTAATTTATGATACACGCTGAATTCTATCTTTATATTTTAAACTTATTTAAATATTTTGATAATCTTTAACAAATTAAAACAAATAAATATTTAAATAATCTAATTAAAATATATAATTTATTATCTATCTAATGTCAATATCATTATAATTATCATTATCAATATTAAAATAAAGGTAATTCAAATGAATATAGAGTTCAAGATTTCTCTTATTTTTCATCATATCCATTTGAAATTTATACAATCTTTCATCTTTCAATTAAATCAATAGTAACTACTCAAAAGTGTTTTAGCTTATATTTAATAACTATTAACTTTTTAAATTGATATGATATAATTTATGAACATTAAATCATTAGTAGTTGAATAGTTTTTTTTAGTATAAAAAATCCAATCATTTGAGTAATACAAATACAAATCACATACAAAGCCAGAGAGAAAAAGAACATGACTTTAAAGGTTTTTGTTTTGCTTTTTTTTTTTATGTCTACGTTTCAAGCCATGTAACGATCTTAAAGTTTTAAAATTTTACATTTATATAATGTCCCGGTTTTTCTAGGTAATTTTTTTTTATTTTTAATTTATTTGTATATGAGTCTTGCATTCGTTATAGTATATATTTAATTGTAAAGAAGAGTCTTAGCGGAAGTTTTAAATATTATTTATTGACTTCGATGTAAATACAATCATGCGGGAGCCTTTCCTTGATCCGTAGAACAACTTGTAAAGCAGTTATTCAACAATTGTAAGCTGATGTTTAGTGAATTCCCTAAAAATATTACATACCACAATATATATATATATATATAATATATATATATATATATATATATATATATATATATATATATATATACAATACATGTACATAATAGCCTTCAATATATAGTTGGTCCGACCCTTGACCTTCAACATAAAGTTGGTCCGCCCTTGGCCTTTAGCATTAAGCTAGTCAGCCCGAGTCTATTGCCCTTCAGCACGAAGTTGGTCCGCCCTCAACTCCTACATAATATATTAACACATACAACTAGCGATATTCTAACATTACAAGCAACTATCTAGCCTAATTGCTTAAGTGTATACTACAAACAACTATATCCTAACATACAGTGGATACATACTGGAGTATACAATATAGTGAGATGAAGTCAACTGAACAGTTTCTCAAGGGATAAACAGTTAACCGGGCACTTCGACTAACGAGCAGCACTCCAACGAAGATCTACCTATATTACTATAGTTTATTAGTTCCTATGGAAATCTATAATGTAGGCTAGACCCATCACTAATCACAACAAATGTCGATAGTTCTATCAAATAAGGATCAACCAGGCCGAACAGTCGGGAGCCAGGACCATTTCGGCGTATAGCCTTTCTAAAAAATCTAACAACCAAGCCAACGTGACCATTCTAGGCACCTCTACTGTAAGTAGATTAATTAGTGTTATTATTGGGATTATTGATAAATCTTTATTTACATATTCATAACAATGACTATGAATATAGATATAAGTTATACTTTAAAGCATAGTAAGTGTAGCCTAACTTACAGAGAGTTTCTAGCGAAGCCGGGAATTATGCGGGCAGAACTCTAACCCGAGAGTTTCTAATCGTAATCTCTTCGATGTCGCAAGGACTCGCTAAAGTAGTCTGGAACTAGGGAGTAAAGGGCTAAAAGCTAGAAAGTATTTTAGAGAGAATTGGAGGAATTTTGGTGTGAAAAAAGTCTGAAATGCGAAGGCTATATATAGTGCCAAAAACGAAAGCGCGCCGCACAATGGGCCGGAGCGCGTCGCGCATGTGTCAGTCATGCTGAATGTAATATCCCAAAAATTCCAATAAAAATTTTAATTTTTAATTAAAGAGAAATCATTGTTTTTCAATCAGCTCAAATCACAAAAACCCAAGATCAAATACAAGTGTTCCAAAATCAATTTATCAAATATCTCCAAACATGTCACGGAAGGATGTATACGATTATGCATTTGCTTTTCCCACAACCATCGGTCTGGATTACCCTTGAGCCCACAACATGAGTCTGACTTGCCTTTCTGGCTCATAGCTCATGTCTGGATTGCTCCCGAGCCCACAACGTAAGTCTGGTTTGCTTTTTTGGCCCACAACTCATATCTGGCTTGCTCCCGAGTTTGTTGGCTTCCGCACATAGCAGTATTGCCTCAACCCAACCACACTATGTCGACATATGCAACAAATAAACATATAACTAGCAAACAGATAATCATGCAAATCTAATAGATCACTATAGCATATCAATATCCTATATACCAGGATACATAACCGAATGGGTCGTCATTGGTGCCTTCGACCCATTCTGAATGGATCACTATAGCATATCAGTACAGTGAGGAAACTCACATCACAGTCTGAAAAATAGCAGAAAGGAACGTTGCTCCAAAATTCAACTTTATAAGTCACCTATACAACAAACAATGATCCAAACTCAAACTACAACTCAAAATACCTAAAATGCCCCTAAGTCAAACTTGGTTAAAATCCTGGTCAAATGTACCCTCACTTGGCCAGATTACGAGGTCTCGACAGGTACGCGCAACGTACCCTCGAGTACATTCAGCGTACTCGACTGTCGCCTTTTCTTTTCTATTAAGTGCTTAATCTATTAAGATACCACGTCCAAAACTTAGATCTAGTCCTAAATGACGCTCTACGGTATTGTTTGTTTTTTTTCTGCAGTTTTTCTTGGCCTCTTCTGTCTGCGCCACGCAGACCACGCGCAGACATTAGCCTTCGCAAACTATTTGTTTTTTTGAAGACTGCAGACCTAAAATGTCTACGAGCCCTCTTCTTGACGCAGATGTGGACCAAAGTCTTCTAACATCTTCAGACATTTTCTAGCCTAAAAATGCACATATATCTTTTTTTTTTAGTTTTTTTTAATTTATATTTATTCCAACTTTATTAATGATAAACAATTTGAAAAAAAAAGTTACAATACTTTATAAAAAAGGTTTGATGACAAAAACATTATATTTTTGACAAATTTATATATAAAGATGCAATATGGAATGTTTAGTGGTGCTCTTGCTGGTACTGAATGTTTGGTTTTATCCCATCTTTTCTATACAAATGATGCACTTTTTTTTTTGGAGAATAGGATGAAGGTAACTTTAATAACTTGGTTAAAATTTTGAACTAAATTTTGATCTTTTGTCTGGTTTGAAAACTAATTTGTAAATGTTGAATCTCCTTGGAATTGAGTTCAGATGACCGAAGTGGAGGACCATTGATACTTGGTGCTTTGTTGAACAATTTCCGATTTTTATCTTGGTTTGCCAGTGGGATCGAAATAGGGTTGATACTTGGAAAGTGGTGATTAAAATTTTGAAAAAGATTTGCAACTTGTGGAAAGTTAAAATGTTATCTACTGGTGGTCTAATGAAATTGATCAAATAAGTGTTTGGAAGTTTAGGTATTTATTTTACATCTTTGTTTAAAGTCACAAATATGGTTTGTAGTATGTTGGAATCTATACGGTCTTTAAAGTCACAAATACGGTTTGTAGCATGTTAGAATCTATACGGTCTTAATTTGTGGGATAAAGTGAGAGATTAAAGTGTTGATATGACATGTTAATTTTATTGCATAGAATTCCCACTATGATGAATTTAAGTGAGAAAGGTATTGATGTTCTTTCTCTGTTATGTTCGATTGGAAATCTTTATGTTAATGAAACTAGTCATGCGTTCTTGTTCTATGAGGTGTGTGCTCAGATTGGTTGTGGATTGAAAAGTGACTAGTTCTTTGAGGTGATCATTTTTACTACTATTTGGATGCTTTGGGATTATCATTACAATGTGATGTTCCAATCCTCCAAATTGAAGAGAAGTAATAATTTTAAGAATATTGTCATTCATTCGTTTGATTTGTTTTCAAAAAAGAATGTTGTGGTATTAACTATACTTTGTGGTTATAAAACTCATCTATTTATAATGTCTTGTAACTTTTTTTTTCTAAGTTGCTTGCTAGTTGATTTTGAATAAAATCCAACCATTAAAAAAATCACAAGATATGAATGGCGTAAAACCATAACAAAAATTATTGGGTCTAGAATAAGATTAGTAATTGAATGTGAATGATGGACCAAAGATGTCGTCGAAACTCGAAAGTATGGTGGTGTACACATACACGGAAAATCTTACTCAAACCGAAAAATATTAAAATAATATTATAAAATGATATAACAGTTAACTAAAATGAAAAAGTGTGAAAGTTTAAAATTTATGAGCTTTTTGTGAAACTTAAATAAATAAAGATCCAATGTAAATATGATTTACGAAATTATAAGCTTTTGTAATTTTGCAAAGTTAAAATCAATTTATGGGACCACTTAGGTTGTCATTTTGTTAAATAACTGTTGAAGGTGGTTGTCTAATAATATTCTATTTCTATTCTTGTTGTTTTAGTTATTAGCACAATAATGTACCGAGTTTTCTAAGTATATAAAAATATGTAAGGAAATGTTTTATGTTTTATATAAGAATATAAGTAAAATCAATTTATGGGACCACTTACGATATTTCCCTAA